CCCTGTTCCTGGGGTCTACCCTGGCCTCTGTCCTTTCCCCTCCTGCGGCCCTGCCTAGGACTTCAGGTACTACCTGTGTGCCCACGACGCCAAAGGGCTTCTAACCTCCAGCCTGGACACCTCCAGGACTGTTGCCCCTTGCTGTCCCGGTGAGATGAAAACCCAGAATAGCCAAAACAGACCCCCTCCTCCAGCCTTGCTCCTTCTCCCACGTCGTCAATGTCAGCACTACCACAGTAACAATCATGAGGACACTAATCACCAGCATGAATGGAATGCCAACCCATGCCAGACAAGGAACCAGCATGAACACATTTCATTCTTTGGCTAACCCCTAGAGGCAAATATTACAACCATCCCCATTCTGTAGAGAAGGAAACTGAGACCCAGAGGCTAAGTAATTTGTGCAACATCACACAGGAAGCAGGTGGTGGTTTCAACACTGGGATCCAGGAAGTTCAGAGCCTATACTCTTGTTAACTATGGCAGTCACCCAAGGCAGAAGCCTTCCATTCTTGCCTTCCCTCCCCTCCTCCCTTGCTTCATACTCATCCTTGCTTTTATTCATTTGACCATCTTTACTGAGCAGCGACCTTGTCGTAGGCATTGGGCTAGGTGCTATGGATACAAAGATGAACAAGACATATTTGGTGGTTTCCCTTAAGGAGCTCACAATCTAGCAGACACCTTCAAGCCCTAGGCTGTCTAAACTTTTCCTCTGACCCATGGCCCCCAACCCTCCCCCCCTGCCCCAGCCCCAGCTCCCTTATATATATCTTAGTGAACAAAACAGTCTCATGGATTTAAAACACCGAGAACTCCCCAAATTTTATCTTTCACCAAATCTCCAGGCATGTTTCTCCAATCAGCCTCTCCATTCGGTGGGCTGATGGCCATCACGAACTTAACACATCCAAAGCTAAGCACCCAATCTTCTCCCCCAAACCTGCTCCTCCCTTGGTCTCCTTGTTTTGATTAATGGCAGCTCTGTCCTTCCATTGTTCAGACCAAAACCTTGCAGTGATCTGTGGCTGCTCTCGTTCTCACACAGCCCATATCCATTCTGTCAACCCTATTGGCCCTATTTTTAAAATATATCCCAAACCTATATACGTTTCCCCACCCTCCACTGCCCCTGCCCAGGTCCATGGCCCATCTTCTGTCATCCGATCACAGATTTGCCTCTCGCTTACAATCTGTACCCCCCACAGTCAGAGCAGTCCTGTTAACACATAAGTCACATCTTATCACTGCTCAAAATCTTCCTGTGGCTCCCCACTTCCCTCCAAGGAAAAGTTATTGTCCTTACAACTGCTTGTAAGACCACCCACGTTATAGTGGTGGCTGAAGTCCATTTCTTCTCTGGCCTCATCTCTTTCTGTGTCCCCCTTTATACACTCTACTCCAGCTAGACTGGTCTCCTTAGAGAGTACAAGAGGCCTGTGCATTCTGGATGGTTCACCGTGATATTGATATCACCTGGCACCCAATAAGTATTGAACGAATGGGTGAAATAATGTATATTATAGTATTATACCTTATGTTGCAGACCAAAAAGAAAACAAGCAGATTGCAGTGGTAATGAAGGAGGAGATCCAGTTTGCATAGAGAGAGTTTGCTCCTTTTAAACTGAAAGTGAAGGGGAGCAAAAAGCAAGGCGAAAAGCCAGGAAAATGAATTCCAAGCAGAGGGAATAGTGTGCCCTGTTTATCGCACTGGATGGTGAGGGCTTTAGGATACAGACCTCATCTGAGACCCCAGAGCCTGGCCCAGTGCCTGAAACAGGACTAAATGAGAATTTGCAAAATGAGTAAATAAACCAAGAGTTGCATTCCAGGAGTATCTGATTCCCTGGCCTCCTATCCAAGGCCTTGTGGTCCCAAGGAGGGTACAGGAGTTAGAGTCAAAAAATCTGAGTGCCAGTAGTAACCAACGCTGTGAACTTGCTATATTAGCCTGGGCAAGTTACCTAACCATTCTAAGCCTCGGTGCCTTTAACTATAAAATAAGAATACTCTCTTCCCTGCCTATTTCTATTATAAGGATCAATCCTGCCTATTGTGGCTTACATTTTAATGTATACCCTGGGCTTTTTTAGAGGCAAAAATATGAAATAGTATCATGAAGATGGTCTCATCAGTTATTGTCTTTCTGTGTCTCTTGCTTACACATAAAGAATTAAATTAGGCAAATTCCCTTCAAATTTGCAGTCTCAAAAAAAGTTTCACCCAAGAATTGAAATTCCTGCCTTCTATCAGGAGACTGAGGTTTGTGTATTCATCCTACTTCCATTTTTGCCCTGGATGCCAGGAAGCTCATATCTAAATATGGCATCCAGTAGCAGTAACTATGTTGAGTCTAAAATTTTCACACATGTGATTCTTCCTCTTCCTAGTACGTAACAGGAGACCTGGGTTCTAGTGCTGGCTAATCACTTTACCTCTCTGAGCCCCAACTTCCTACTGACAAATTTAAACTAGGGCTTATTTTAGATAGGCTTCAGGAGGTCCTATGAATCCCCCAGAAGTTTGGGGTGCGTTTTTCAGAGCAGAAGACTTAGCGTTGCTGCTGGACTCTATATAGGAGTCTAAGACCCAGAGGGTGGCCATGTAATTTTGATAGGAAATGCTCTGCAAGTCGATTTAAAGGTGCCCATAGATGCGCGTGTGGCCCTGTGAACCTCTTCACACTGTTTGAGGAAACAGAGGTGTCCTGGGCACTGGAGAGGCCCTGAGTGCTCTGTCCTCCTCCCTGGGCCAGGATGCTGCCGAGGAATCCTGTGCCCTCATCTGTCAGGTCTTCCAGATCATCTACGGGGACCAGAGCATTGAGTGCGTGGACCGGGCCGGCTACCACTACACATCAACGCCTGAGCGGCCGTGGCTGTGCAGTCGCAGTGAGTACTGGAACTCCTGGCCACCCCTCCTGTGAAACATCCCAAAAGGCCGGCGAGGACTCCGGGACTCAGGGCCGATGAAAGCCTGTAGAGGCCCTGATCTCTACCGCAATTACAGTGTACTCCCCCCCCCCCCCCTTATGTAGTTAAAATGAAATGTCAGTTTTCACGATGACCTCAAACTTAGCGTCTGCACAATGTTCTGGTTGCCAGATTTGGAATGAGCCCCTCAGAGCTGAACTTTTCTCTCTCCCTTCTGTTTCTGATGTCCCTTCTTTGCAGAAATGCAAGCACACACATTGTCTGTTTACTGAGCTGTCTAGCCCCGCTAGGATTCTAGGTCAAAACCAAGATTTCCAGGCCCACCCTTGAACGCAATCAAAGGCTAGAATGAGAATGAGACTAGGAGAGGCATTTATTGAGCACCAACTATGTGCCAAGCACAGTACCACTGTGACTCATAGCAGCCTTGTCGGTCCTATTTGCCACTGTATCCCATGGGCCAAGCAGAGGTCCAGGGACATCATAGGTGCTCCTAGATAAAAGACTTCTTTGAGACCTTATGATTCTAATTTTACAGATGAGGACATTAAGGCTCAGAGTAGTCAATGCATTGCTTAAGGTCACACAGCTGGTAAGTGGCAGAGTCAGGATTCAAACCCAGGTGTGTCTGATTTCTTTTTATTTTTTTAAAAAATTTTAATGTTTGCTTATTTTTTGAGAGAGAAAGAGAACGTGTGCAAGCAAGGGAGGAGCAAAGAGAGAGGGAGACACAGGCTGCAGGGTCTGAGCTGTCAGCACAGGGCCTGACACGGGGCTTGAACCCACAAACTGCGAGATCATGACCTGAGGTGAAGTCGGACACTTAACCAACTGAGCCACCCAGGCACCCTGGTGTGTCTGATTTCTAAAGCTCCTATCTGCAACAGCCTTGCTCCCATGCTGCCTTCAAGGCTGCTAAGTGAATTTCCTCAGCCACAGCCCCCTCAGCGTGGTCCCTGTCTGCAAAGCTCCAGGAACAGAGCGACAGCTCATTACTTCTGCAGGCACCCCCATCTGTAGGAACTGAGGTTATTAGGAAGTTGGGATAGTTCATCAACTCTCACAGGATGAGATAAACAAATGAGCAAATGATGGATAAATAAATGAGTCAACAAACATTCCAACAAATTCATTTTTTTTTCTTTAAAGATTTAATTTTTTAAAAGTAATCTCTAGGGGCGCCTGGGTGGCTCAGTAGGTTAAGCGGCCAACTTCGGCTCAGGTCATGATCTCGCGGTCCGTGAGTTCGAGCCCCGCGTCGGGCTCTATGCTGACAGCTCAGAGCCTGGAGCCTGTTTCAGATTCTGTGTCTCCCTCTCTCTGACCCTCCCCCGTTCATGCTCTGTCTCTCTCTGTCTCAAAAATAAATAAACGTTAAAAAAAAATTTTTTTAAGTAATCTCTATACTTGGGGGCTCGAACTTATAACCCTGAGGCCAAGAGTCACATGCTCTACTGACTGAGCCAGCCAGGCACCCCCAACAAATTCAACAAGTATTTATTGAGCACCTGCTATCACCAGGACATACTGGTGAGCAAAACCAGGTGTGGCCCTGCCCTCACAGCCTTGCATTGCTAGGTAGGCCGACAGTAAATAGGGACACAAAATGTAACCACGTGCTGTACTCTGCAGACATAGACTGAGGAACCAGCCTCACCTGGGAAGTCAGGGCGGTGTCCTGAGGAAGTGACACTGAGGTGAGCCAAGATCAGAAGGGTAAGGCTAGTGGAGTCAGAGAAGTAACAGGACTAGGTACAGAGCAAGTTCTCTGTGAACAGTGCTGCTATTCTCTGGAGATCTTGAGTTCCTTTCCCTCAAAGTTCTTTTTTGTTCTCGCCTCAGACATGTACAGTTTTCAAAACATCCCCTCACCTCTTCCCTCACCTGCTGTTCTCAAGACCACTCCCCCCCCCCCCCCCCCGCAAGGCAGGCAGGCAGGTGGTATTGTCCCAACCTTGGGGAAGTTGAGGGCAGGGAGAGAGAAGGTGAGTTGCCCAAGGTTGGCTGTGAGTTGGTGATGGGGGCAGGTTTCATGGTCAAAATCTTCCAGCAGCTGCCCAATTTCACTCAGAGTAAAAGCTAACACCCTTACAGTTGCTTACAAGGCCATCCGTGCTCCAACCACCATCCCAACCGTAGGGTGGGACTGGGGTTGGGGGCTCAGGGAGCTGGGGACGTTGGTCCTTTCTCTGCTGCCTCTAACAGCCCCTCTGTCTGCTGACCCCAGGTGAGAGCTGCCGCACAGACGGGACGTACGCCTATGACGCCGACTTCAGCTGCTGCAGCTCCTTGTGGGTACCGCCCCACCCCCACCTTGCACAAATAGGGTCTCTCTTCTAGGCATTCTTGAGCTCCCAGTGGGCAAGAAAGGGTGGGTGAAAAGGACCCCACCTCGATTTGTGCTGATGCCCTGAGCCCTGAGGAGGGTAGGCGAACTGACCTCTCCAGGCTCTAGTGAGCTCATAGGATCCAGGCCCAGACCCTAAGAGGCCTGGGGGACAACCGGAACCCTGAGTGGTTTCCACGTAGGCCTGTAGTTCTCTGCCAGTCATCCAGACACAGTGGCCTGCCTAGTCCCAAATCACAGCTAATGCCAAAAACTAATTTTGGTTTAATTCCATGTAATAGAAAACCCTAAAAAGGATTTGAGTTTTAAATAAGATCGAGCTCCCCCCCCCCCCCCCTCACCTCTTACATAAAACAGATCAGGAGTTTATGGCCCTTATGGTCATCGAGGGTCCAGGTCCTCGGCACCTGGTTCCGTACTCAGAGTTACCTCATGGACCAAGATGATGGTCAGAGCTCCAGTTATCACAATGGCAATGCCAGGGATGTCTGTAAAGAGCTTCGCTCGGATCCTGGCCTGATGATTTCTGCATATGTCTTAGTGGCCAGGACTTGGTCACATGGTCACAGCTAGCCGCCTCAAGGCTGGAAAATGTAGGAGGTAAAACAAAACAAACAAAACAAAACTCAGTTAGCCATATTGTCCAGGGTTCTGTTTGGTATGACTAACCACGCTAGCACTGAGGGGTTTCCCAGGACTTGGGATTTTCTATACTAAAACCAGGAAAGTCCCAGGCAAACTGGAACAAGTTGGTCAAAGTTAGTTCTCTTACTAAGGCCTCTGGCTTGACAGGTATCAGGCTCTGCCACTAATATATGCCCTACTTTTATTTTTTCCCTCTTCTGTGTCAATATTTGTGGCTTCCTTATACTGTGTGCCCTTGGGCTAGTCCTTAACCTGATATCTGCTGCCAGATCTGGATCTGCTAGAGTCATGATAATGACTAACATTTGTGCTTGCTGTGTGCCTAGTGCTGTTCTATAAAGCACTTCATTTTTTTTTTTTAAAGTAAACTCTACTCCCAATGTGGGGCTTGAACTCATGACCCCAAGATCAAGAGTCACATGCTCTGCCAACTGAGCCAGCCAAGAAAAATCTACATAGCAACATTACAGTGGCTGCTGTTTATTTATTGCTTCTAGTCTATGACTCTGAGCACTGTACGAATAGACTCCTCTAATTCTGATGACGTCAATGTTTGTCATCCCATTTTACACGTGGAGAAACTGAGGAATAGAGAAGCTAAGCAGGCTTGCCCAAGGTCAAGCTGTAGGCCTCAGATTTGAACCCAAGCAGCCTAGCTCTAGGTCCACACCCCCTAACCACGATGCCACACTGCTTTTCTGTAGCTAATCATAGAAGATGGTTCTGGAACAATTTAGAAACCAGAAGGCAGGTTAATTTTTTTTTTTACTCTTTTTTTTTAATAAAATGTTTCATTTATTTTTGAGAGAGAGAGACAGAGCATGCACGGGGGAGGGGCAGAGAGAGAGGGAGACACAGAATCTGAAGCAGGCTCTGAGCTGTCAGCACAGAGCCCGACACAGGGCTCAAACTCATGAACCATGAGATCTTGGGCAGGTTGATTTTTTTATTAAGCAAGAATTATTGAGTACCTTTCATGTACCAGGCACTGTGCTGTGTGCTAGGGTTACGGTGGGGAACCATACAAGGATGAGACCCATGACTGGCACGCAGTAGGTACTCAACAAATAAGAAATCAAGGTTCCTGCTCCTGCATGGTTTATCGTGCAAGCACACTTGCAGCGTCTAGCACAGGAGACGATTAAGTCATTATTTAACAGAAATAAGCATTAACGATAACTAAAGAGAACGAGCACTTCAGAGCACTGAGAGAGACCCATGGGGAGCCTACCTCTTTGGGGGTCAGGAGGGCCTCTCAGAGCTCATGAAACTTGAACCGAGGCCCAGAGGAGGAGAGGGGAAGAGCACTCCGGGCAGAGGGGCAGAAAGTGCAAGGGCTCTGAAGCAGGAGGACAAAGCTTGGTGCATTTGAGGAGCAGCCAGGAGGCCACCGTGGATGTTGGTGGGGAGGATCTGGGAAGGCCTTGCGTGTCATGGGTAGACTTATGAATTTGTGACCACATTTGACAGAGGATCAACCCAGTCATGGGGAGGGGAGGGTCAGAGAAAACTTTCCCGAGAAGGTGACATTTAAGCTCCAATGATGAGTAAGTGTTAGTTGGACAAAAGATAGGGTAGAGAGGCATTCCAGGCAGAGGGAATGGCATGTGCAAAGGCCCAGAGGTAAAGAGGTACTTGAAGTATTAGAGAAGATGGCAGAGAGGCCTGAGCACACAGAGCAAGGGTGAGATGAGGCTTCAGAGGCAGCCAAGGGCCAGATAAGTGGGGCTTTGGAGGCCAAAATGGGATCTAGGATGAAGCCCAGAGCATCAGTAGCTGTGCCCTCCCACCCCCACCTGCTGTAGGGAGGGGAGCTAGAGGAAGGTGAGTGAGAGCCCCATTCTGCCTGTCTCTGCAGCAATGGCTCCCAGGATACATTTGAAGCGTGTTACAGTGGCACGTCCACACCCTCTTTCCACGGCTCCCACTGCAGCGGCAGCGACCACAGCGGCCTGGGCCTTGAGCAGTTGCAGGATTACATGGTCACGGTGAGCAGGGGCAGGCAATGTGAACAGCACAAGCAAAGGTCTGGAGGCTGGAGAAAACACAGAGAGTATTTCAGGAATCCTGAATATTCCTGGACATAATTGAAGTAGACCTTGGAAGATCGGAGGCGGGGTGGTGGGGGGGGATATGAGGTTAGGAAAGTAAACTGGGCAGCTTATGAAAGCCTTCACTAATGTCAGCTAGCATTCATTGTGTGTCGTCTGTAGAGCAGGCACTGTTCTAAGCACATTTTATGCGTTTATTTTAATCCTTTCAACAGCCAAAGAGGGAAGTGCCATCATTATCTTTACTATATATAAGAAAATCAAGGGTCAAGGAGGTTGCCCCCTACCCAAGATCACAGAGCTGATCAACCAAGGGGCCAGGATTTGAACTCAGGCACATAGGCACATCTCGTGCTTAGACTCAGCCTAGTGTCTGCATGCCCCCCCCCCCCCCAGTAGGCCATGGGAAAGGTTTTGGGGGAGATGTTGGCCAAATACACCCTTACAGAGGGTTTGGGTCTTTTAGGCAAAGGCTGGGTGGGGATTGCTCCCTGGGACTGACCTTGGATGTTGTCCCCACAGCTGCGGAGTAAATTAGGGCCCCCCGAGATCCAGAAGTTTGCAATGCTGCTGCGGGAGTACCGGCTGGGGCTGCCCATCCAGGACTACTGCTCAGGCTTGCTGAAGCTCTATGGGGACCGGCGCAAGTTCCTCCTCCTTGGTGAGCCCCCTGCCACATCCCCCGAGATCAGGCAAGGACCCTGCTCCCAGCTGGTCCACGACACTCCCGATTAGGCATCAGGCTAGAAGCATTTTCTCCTAGTCCTCAGCCTCCGATAAAGCCAAGATCATGAAATCCATGGCACATTTAAGGAGACAGGCGCAGGGCAGGGAGGGACTTGCTTGCAGTCACAGCCCATCAGTAGAGAGCACTGGTATATCCATTCACCTTCATAGCAAAGCTGGGGTGGTGGGGGCAATATTCTCCCCATTTACCCCATGTGGCAGCTGACGCTCAGAGAGGCTGAGGCACTTGTCCAAGATCACACAGCTGGTAAGGAGGACTGATCATAATAACAGGAATAATATTAATAAGCTAACAGGTAATATCTTTGTCAAGCATCATCTCACTGAATGCTTCAGTTTGGGAAGGTAGAAACTCTCATTTGCCCCCATTTGGCAGATGAGCAAAATGAGGCCCAGAGAAGCAAAGTAAAGTGCTAAAGTCACATAGCTTGCGAGTGGAGATGGAAGCAAAACAAGCTGACTTGTATGAAGCACGCAGTGTGCTGGCCCCTCGTCACATCCCCCCCTGGGAGAAGAGGTGCAATCATCTCAGTTCTACAGGGAGGAAAGTAAGGCCCAGAGCAGCTGTTTAATGAGGGTCACACAACTAATAAATGGGAAAGTAGCAGTTGCAATAATGACAATAACGATAAGCTAATGTGTAGTGAGCATTTGCTATGTGCTGAGCATTAGGTCATTGTTCTCTGGCTCAGAGTCAAGGAACTTGTGCAGGACCACACAGCCAGAGAGCGGGCGGGCTGGGGATTTGAACTCGGTTCTCCGGAGAAGGTGATTCCAGATGGGAGGCGAAGGGCTGAACCCTGAGGCGTCCCTCTGCCCCTGGCCCCGCAGGGATGCGGCCCTTCATCCCGGACCAAGACATTGGCTACTTCGAGGGCTTCCTGGAGGGCGTGGGCATCCGCGAGGGGGGCATCCTCACCGACAGCTTCGGCCGCATCAAGCGCAGCATGAGCTCCACGTCGGCGTCGGCCGTGCGCAGCTACGACGGGGCGGCCCAGCGGCCTGAAGCGCAGGCCTTCCACCGGCTGCTGGCCGACATCACGCATGACATCGAGGCGCTGGCACCGGACGATGAGAGCACCGATGAGGAGGCCAGGGACTCCCCGGGTGGGGGCGACACGGTTGAGGACAACTACCTGTAGCCGCCACCCATGCGGAAGGCGGGGAAGCATCCTCAATCCCACCTGTGTCTCACTCGCTCCTGCCTGTGGGACCCCGGCCCCAGGGCCCCCCTCCCGGGGTGTCCGACCTCGCCCTTGGCGCTCCAGTCCCTGCAATACCGAGAATGTCCTGCAGGGGGCGGGACCCCAAAATCGCAGGCAGTTGCCGGAGGCTCAGCCAGCCCCCCTCTGCCAGACCTGGGTGGGCAACATTCTACTGTGTCACTAGCCCCAGGTGCCAGGGACAGCCCCTCTCTCCCTCCACTCCTGCAGCTTTCTGGAGGCCAAAGGACAGATGAGGAGTGGGCTCCACCTGCTGACAGACTGAGAAAAGACTTCCCAGAGCCCAGAGACCTCTTGTTCCTCCTATTTTACAGTTTGAGAAACAGGTTCAAAAAAAGGTGAAGGAACTTGAGGAAACCTCCTATTTCTCCTGAGATATTACCTCAAAGTACACATACAATAGCGTAGAGGGCCTTTTTAAGACTCTAAATGGCAGGGTCGCCCCTCCTCTGATGGCAGGAATTGGATCACCAGTGTGACATATCTCCAGTGACAGTTGGGTCAGAGGTAGGTGATGGGGGTCCCAGTCTTGGCCCTAAGACTCTGAACAAGTTGCTTGTTCAGATCTTGGATTGGGAGCCAGACAGACCTAGGTCTCCTGTCTGGTTAGTGTTCTCACCTCTTGGTGACTTCCATTCCCTAATCTGTCCTATGAGGTTGGCCCCATCCACCTCACAGGGATGGTTGTGGGGATTAACAAAAGCACAAGGCCTTAGTGCTGGGTCTAGCCCATAGTAGGCACTCAATAAATGTTCCCTTCCACTTCTAACACTTTCGGACTTGGTGTACCTGTCTTGGCTGGGCGCAGTACAATGGAAACTGAGGTGGGGGTCAGATGTAAGCAGATCTTTGGGGAAGTTTGTGAAGAGGAACTAGGACTTGCCCTTCATGGCCCTATTACACCCTGGCTCTGTGCTCAAGCCCCAAATGAAAAGTACCTGAGACTCCACAGGCTATCATCACAAGGGGCCGGGGTGGTTAAAGAAACCTGACAGCCGGGTTGAAGAGGTTAGAGAAGTCGGCATGAGGACAGCTTCAACACAGCCTGAGTAAAGGCTTGGAAGCTAGAAGGAGTGACCCCTGAGAGGGGGCCAGAGACTCACGCAGAAGTGCTGAAACTTATTTGTAAAGCTTTAGAGCCTTCCATGGCCAGACACATGGTCCTTACCGTGAGGTAGGTACAATTATCACCAATTAAAAAAATTTTTTTAATATTTATTTATTTTTGAGAGACAGAGAGAGACAGAACATAAGCAGGGGAGGGGCAGAGAGAGAGAGAGAGAGAGAGAGAGAGAGAATCAGAAGCAGGCTCCAGGCTTTGAGCTGTCAGCACAGAGCCCAATACGGGGCTCGAACTCACAGACCGTGAGATCATGACCTGAGCCAAAGTTGGCTGCTTAACAGACTAAGCCACCCAGGTGCCCCTAATTATCACCAATTTTAAAGTAATATTATTATTAGGGCTTCAGGTCCAGGGTTCCAGGATTTATACTCAGTTTATAGCAAATGATGTTTTCTTTTGCTTTATTCCCCCCTCCATCCACCCATTCCCCACCTTCCTTCCCCTCCCCATCATGGGCACCCACCCTATGTGTTGATCTATGTCCTGGACGTAAAATACACAATGCATCGTGTGTGTATTTACACCACATGAATGGTATTGTGTAAAGATCTCAATCTGACGCTTCCTTTTTTCACTCCATCATATGATTATTTCTAAGTTCCACCCATGTTTCTGTGGGAAAATCTAGCCTATTGTATCATATTGCTGCAAAGCATTCCAAGCTGAGCATCCATGGCATTATTTATTCACCCCATCCCCCTGTGATGGATGCCCAGGTGGCTTCCAATTCCCTCTCACCACAAACAACACTGTGATGAACATCTGTGTACATGACCCTATAAGCCTGTGTGAAAACTTCTTTGGACCCTATACCCAAGATGGAATCCTAAATCACAGGGCACATGTTTTTTACATGTCACTAAATTCTATTAGTAGCGTGTGAAAGATGCTTGTCTCCCCACATTTTCAATTTTGCCTATAGTTTGGGTATAAGGTCATCTCAGTGTTTGAATTTCTCTGATGATATGAGACTCAGAATCTTCTGTGCTTGCCAGACATTTGGGCTTCCCCTTCAGTGAATTGCCTGTTCCTGTCTGGTGCCCATTATGAATTGGGTTTCCTGTCTTTTTCTTGTCGATTTGCAGGAGTAGCCTGTAAATTTTAGATACTAATCTCTTGCTGGATATTGATGTTCCCAGTATCTTCACCTAATCCACTGCTCATCCGCTGGGTTTGTCTGTGGCAGTGGCTTTCAACTCTACCGTGCACCAGAATCTCCTGTTCGGCTTGCTAAAACACAGATCGCTGAGCCCCACCCCAGAGTCTCTGACTCAGTAGAGTAGGGGTGGGACCTGAGATTCTGCATTTCTAACAAGTACTCAGGTGATGCTGATGGTCCAGGGAGCACACTTTGCGAACCACTGGCCTATGGTGACTTCCTTTGAACAAATTTGTTCCACTGAACAAATCCATAATTTTGATGTTTTCAAATGTATTTACCTTCATTTTATGGATGAGGGAACTGGAACGTAAGGAGGTGAAGTGAATGACCCAAGGTCACACAGTAAGCTGGGATTTGGACCCATATCTGGCCAACCCCAGCGCGCATGCTCCTAGCCGCTCTGCTATCCTGTCCGGCAGCTTTTGGGATGTAGTGACCACAGGCTGAGGCATTTGTCCTGAGACTATAGGGAACTTTAATAAGTTCCTGAGTGAGGCAGACGTAGAGGGAGAAGCACAGTGACAGGGCTGCCCAGAGTCACTGGAACATTCTTGCCTCATAGCTCCAGGGATGGAGCAATTTCCCTCACACCCCGAGGAAGTCCCCACCCACCCCGGAACTACCCTCTTACCAAAGCCATGTAATGCCTTGGTTTCTGAGGTCCAAAGGGCCCTGACTGGGGCAGTCTAGGCTCTGAGCCTGCGGACTCTGGCCACACTTCCTCCTGTAGCATTCAAAGACCCTGCCAGGATCACTTCCCAATATGGTTTCATTCTTGGCACTGCAAGAGGGGAAATACCCCTGGGCATGAGATAGCTGCTTCCCAAAGACCTCTAGGGGTGGGGTAAGGATGGAATTTCTGTACCAGCTCGGTCTCCTGGGCACAGTTTTGACCCATGGACAAGTGGTAAAGTTAGTGAAATCATCTCCAGCTGCCCCGTACAGTGTGGCTCCTTTTATTTAGGGCCGTGCAACTTAACTTCTCTCCCTCCCAGCTTCCAACAGAAGACTCCTAGCGGCACTCCTTGACTGTGCTGGGAAAGAGTCCTCTGGCCGCTGTCATTTGATCACCAGATGTTTAGAGAGCATACACTCTGTAGCAGGCATTGTGCTAGACAAGAGGGAGATATAGAACAATCCCTGCCCACTGGGGGGGCTCTCAGCTTGATGGGAGTCCCCAAATCACTACAGCATAAAGTTCTCAACTGTCAAATCAAAGAGTGCGAAACTATCTCTTCCTAGGGAAGACAGGAAAGGCTTTGCAGAGGGGGTGACTTACGAGCAAGACTTTGAAGGAGGAGCAAGATTTTTGGCAAGTGGAATAAGGTAGACAGGAGAGCCCCACTCCCCCTCCCGGGCAGGGCCATCATGAGCAAAGGGCAGGGAGCACGAAGGAACATGGCACACTCCAAGGACTGGTAACCAGTTAGCTCTACTGCAGTGGTTAGGCACTGGTGGCCCCGGGGGTCAGACCAAGTGACTTTTGAATCCCAATTCTATCATGTGCTAGTTGGGGGACCTTGGATAAGCTCCTACATGTCTCTGGGTCTTTGGTTCCCTCACCTACAAAATGAGGCTAATAATAGCATCACCCTCAGAGATCTTGTAGATTGCTGAAGACTTCAGGATAATCCACGTAAACGTACATACCGCAAGTGCTCAATAAATACGACCATTTTTATTGCTGGAGGAACATGGGGTGTTGGGGGTGGGGAGCAGGACTTAAAGGAGAGGAAAGCAGAGGAGTGGGCAGATTGAGAAGACTTTTGAAATGCAGGCAATGGAGAGTGACCTAAAGGGCTTGCATTTTACTGAAGTGAGTCTAGCTGCTTGGAGAGGAGGGTTGACTGGAGGTCCAAGGAGAGTCTGGGCCTGGGAGCTGGGCAGGACCTGAGGAGAAAGGCAGAGACCTGACTCAGGGCGAGGAGGAAGAAAAGGAGAAGGCGTGTTCCGGGAGGGGCAGGGTTGAGAGGGCTCCCTCCCTGCTCAGAAACAGCTGCCTTTCACATCCTTTGATTGGATTCATTCATCCGTTATTTAGCACTTGAACCCTGGCCTCGTGCGGCTTACATTCTAGAAAGTTTATGTTCCTATTAAATAATGTTACTTGGAGCCCGCAGGTGCAGTATCCACCTGTTTAGGCTTAAACTATCAGAAATTGGCAGTCCTGTTGGTGTGCCTTCCATTTCTGACTTGTCTATGTCAGACATTTCAGATGAAGGGCAAAGGGTCTTAGAGCCAGGCCAGCCTGTCCTGCCCGCTTCCTGTGATGGTGAGTTCCCTGTCTCCTGTGACAGCCCTTTTCATCCAGTGCAAGAGCTAACAACTGCCTCCTTGCCCACTCACCTCCTATTCCCCACCCCCAGGTCCCAGCATCACCTTTTCGAGCCCTACATGACACAGCTGCTCCCTTGGACCCCGGGCAAGCTCTGCAGTGATGCACAGAAAATGACACAACCTGCAGAAACTTCTCGTTTATCTGACTCAAAGCAACTTGTTCCAAAAAAAAAAAAAACCCAAAAACTTCAAAACCTGGGTTTGAAGCTAATCATGTAGACAAAGGGATAGGGCCTCTGATGTGCAGAGGATATTCAAATAGATAATAAACACCCATAGCCCAGTAGCAACTTGTACAGTTCACAGAAAAGAAAATACAGGGGTCACTGGGTGGCTCAGTTGGTTAAACATCCAACTTCGGCTCAGGTCATGATCTCACAGTTAGTGAGTTGGAGCCCCATGTTGGGCTGTGTGCTGACAACTCAGAGCCTGGAGCCTGCTTTGGATTCTGTCTCTCCTCTCTCTCTCTCTCTCTCTGCTCCCCCCTCCCCCACTCATGCTCACTCTCTTTCTCTCTCCCTCTATCTCAAAAATAAATAAGCATAAAAAAAATTTTAATGAAAATACAAATAACTCTGATATGTGGTAAGTGTCAAACTCACCCATAATAAGAGAAACACAAATTAATACTACATTGAGAAAACATTTTAAAGTGCTGGGTTGGCTAAGCTTGGAGAGTTTGGTAACGTACATGTGGTTGCAGGTGCAAGGAAACAGTCACATATGGCAGGTGGAAGGGTACATTGGTATAAACCCTATTTAACAATATTTTAAATGCACAGACCCCTTGATGCAACAATTCCACTGCCAAGAATTTCTCCTACAAGTATACTCACACAAGTGGAGAAGATGGATGTGCAAGGAAAATCATTGAGATTAGAAATAAACAGGGGTTGCCTGGGTGGCTCAGTCAGTTAAGCGTCCGACTCTTGGTTTCAGCTCAGGTCATGATCTCATGGTTTGTGAGGCAAACGTGAGCCCCACGTGGGGTTCTGCACTGACAGTGTAGTGCCTGCTTGGAATTCTCTCTCTCCCTCTCTCTCTGCCCCTCCTCTGCTCTCTCTCTCTCAAAAATAAATAAATAAACTTAAAAAAAGAAAGAAAGAAATGTTCAGGGATAGGAGACTGGTTAAATAAACTGTGGCTCAC